AAAGCGGTGAGCTTCAAATGGAGACAAACGTAGCAGTGTGATGTTGTGGTGCTACATCATGAACTGGTTATTATAAACAGGAAGGCAATCGAGGCACTCTGAAATATAAAAAGTATGTATCATCAGCTTTAAGCCATGACAGAGATCTACAGTGGTCTAAATATGTTGGCTCTTTTAATGATTTTACAATAAAAGCTTTGTAATATTCATCCTGATAATTTTTTCTTTTATTTTGGAGAAGCCTGCATTGCCCTCCTGTTTTCCCTCCATTTTCCAAGAGCCCCTGACAGATTCTGATTCTGTGTTTGAGTGTACAGAGCAGCTAGCCATCTCTGTTTCCAGGTTACTATAAATCCCTGTAAAATCTTATATGGGCTTTTATTTTGAAGAATATAGCTCCTCCAGCTCCGGCCCATAAATGGCCGCAAGATTAAGCTCCGTTTTTAGTTCAGTTGGCAGCACTTTCCTGGCAGAATCTGTCAAGTTAACTTTTATTTTGGTAAATTTTGCCAAGGAATTTTAGCCATAACACATTTGGCATTGTGGTCCATGGATTAGCTAACACTGCATTTTTTTGTCCCCAAGACGGCAGCAAATTGAAACACTGAACAGTGGACAGCCCTAAATATTAAATTAGTAATATTTAAAATTGTTACATTCGTAACAAACGTACTTATTTTTAGCAAAACCATGATGTTTTTTTTTTTCTAAACCCAACCACATGCTTTTGTTGGCTAAATTTAAAGAAGTAAACCTAAGAACAAAGTGGTTTACCTATGTTTTAAGTTTATTTTGAAAAGAAACTGTATACATGTAATAATCTATCCTTCTTTAAGTCCCGCCCCCAGATGCAGACTGGCCAATCATAACGTAGCATCAGGATGGCTCAGACCAGGGTCCGACAACAACACAGCTGTGCTCCATTGACTCTAATGCAGTCATTTCAGATTTCCTTCATTTTCAGGCTGGTTTTGTGGGTTTGGAGCTAAATGTTGTGCCTGGGGCACGTTGTGTGTTAATGATACTCGTTACTTGGAGAGGCTGGAAAAAAATACATGTTTCTTCCCTGTTCCAAAACCAAAATCAGACCCTGAAAAGTGTAGGGTTAGCTAGCTAGCTATTGAAGATACAGCCTACTGAATGTATACACATGCTGCTTTTGCTTTTAATGATTATAACAGTGAAAAAAGACCAGCCCAGCTGTACAGGAGCCAGTGAAGGGAAGCAGGGAAACTTTGCTGATATTCAACCAGCTGTGTGTCAACGCACTGTGTGCAGATGAACATTGTTTGACTTCTTCCGCAGCCCCCGCGACAGTCCAGCTGCCAGTCTGGGTGATGGGAGCGGCACGGGGGTGAAGCTAAACACTGTTCATCTGAACACACTGTGATGCCATACAGCTGGTATATCAGCAAAGTTTCCCTTTATATTCATTGTCTTCTGTGGCGATCAGCAGTGATGTGATGGTTCACTTCTACTCTGTGATCTGTAGGCTTTAGCTTCAATCTTTATTTTGTTACCTTGATTTTGTTGCTATGTCAGTCTGACATCCTGAATATATCCTTCAAATGCATATTGTAGACCCTTCTGTCTGCTTCTGTCTGAAATTTTTTGTTTTTCCAAAAATTTTAGAGTATTTCTCCAGGGAGTACAGTTAGCGACAGTGGGAGCGCCATGCCAGTCTAGCTCTGAAACCGAAAGTTTGTCGGACTTAGCAACAGTAACTAAGGGGGGCAGGCCTTAGCGAAGGGTGAATTGGAAACTGTACATTTCCTGTGAAATTCTTGAGCGTAAATTGACCCGCCGTCTCTAACGTTGGATAGTGTCATAGTTTGACGTTTAATTCCACTAACAAAGTGGCTGTATTTGGTGGTTTATAAGATAAGATACACCTTTATTGATCCCACAATTGAGAAATTCCAGTGTTACAGCAGTCAAGGGGAAAGAGTCAGATTAAAGATTTCAAAATTTAAAAACGGAAAATGTAGGCATGCAAAAAGAGTACAAAAATACAAGAAACAGCAATAAATAATAATAATAATAATAATGAGCAGTGAATAAAAAGTGAGCAATGAATTAAAGTGAGCATATTTAGTGCAAAGTGAATATTGTATGTGCAAATAAACAACAACAACATGGGGGACAGTTATGCTTATTATGATGTCCATAAGGTGTTCATAGTGTCCCTAAAGTGTCCATGGTGCAGTTTACTGTGAGCAGTGCTGGTTATGTAGCCTGACAGCAGCAGGCAGGAAGGACCTGCGATAGCGTTCCTTCACACACTTTGGGTGAATCAGTCTATCGCTGAAGGGGCTCTCCAGAGCTTTTATCTCCTCCTGCAGAGGATGGGAGTCATTAGTCCTCAGAGATGACAGCTTGGCTGTCATCCTCCTTTCTCCCACCACCTGCACAGAGTCCAGATAGCATCCCACGACAGAGCTGGCCTTCTTGATCAGCTTGTCCAGTCTCTTCCTATCTGCAGCCGAGACGCTGCTGCCCCAGCGACCACTCCGTAAAAGATGGCTGATGCCACCACAGTGTCAAAGAAGGTCTTCAGGAGCGCTCCCTGCACTCCAAAAGACCTGAGCCGCCTCATCAGCTTTGGCCTTTCTTGTACAGTGCTGTTATGTGATCAGTCCAGTCCAGTTTATTGTTAAGATGAACACCCAGGTACTGTCACCATCTCAATATCCTTTCCCTGGATGTTCACCAGTGTTGGGGGGAGGAGTCTGCGCCTGCGGAAATCCACCACCAGCTCTTTGGTTTTCCCCGCGTTGATCTGAAGGTGGTTCCTCAGGCACCAGTCAACAAAGTCCTGGTTCAGTTCTCTGTACTCCCTGTCGTTCCCATCTGTGATGTGGCCGACTATGGCAGAGTCCTCAGAGAACTTCTGCAGATGACAGATGGGGGTGTCGTATGAAAAGTCTGCAGTGTAGAGGGTGAAGAGGAACGGTGCTAGCACCGTCCCCTGCAGGGCCCCCGTACTGCAGACAACCAAGTCCGATACACAATCCTGGGTCCTGACATACTGCGGCCGGTCCGTGAGGTAGTCCAGGATCCAGGATGTGAGGTGATTAGCCACCCCTATGTGCTCCAGTTTGTCCCTCAGTGCAGGCTGTATGGTGTTGAAAGCGCTGGAGAAATCAAAGAACATGATTCTCACAGAGCTTCCAGGCTTCTCCAGGTGAGAAAGAGCTCTATGCAGGCGGAAGATGACGGCGTCGTCCACCCCAATACCAGGCTGGTAGGCAAACTGCAGCAGGTCCATTGAAGGGCCTACTGCGGGGCGGAGACGAGACAGGACCAGGCGCTCCAGAGTCTTCATGAGGTGCGATGTTAATGCCACCGGTCTGAAGCTGCTGAAGTCCTTGGGGTGCAGAGTCTTGGGCACAGGTACCACGCAGGATGTCTTCCACAGCTGTGGTACTCTCCCCAGCCTCAGGCTCAGGTTGAAGATGGTTTCAACTATCCTGCACAGTTGGTCTGCGCAGGACTTCAGGAGCCTGGAGCTGATGCCATCTGGACCTGCAGTCTTCCTCGTCTTTATCCTCCTCAGCTGATCTCTCACCTGACAGGTAGTGAAGGATAAGCTGGAGCAGGGGGGCTGTGTGCTGGGGGGTGGAGGTGATGAGGTGGGGGGAGGAGTGGGGGTTGGTGAGATTGCAGCCTACTTGTAACAGAGTGGAGAATGTCACAAGCAGACTCAGCCTTTGCAGACAGGGGGACATACACTGCTACCATAATGACATGAGAAAACTCCCTGGGTAGATAATATGGTCTCATGCCAACAGCCAGCAGCTCAATGTCCCTGCAGCAATGCTGTTCCTTGATAGTGATGTGCCCAGAGTTACACCATCTATCATTCACAAACACAGCCAGCCCCCCTCCTTTCCTCTTACCTCTGTCCGCTGTCCTGTTTTGTCTGATGAGCTGGAATCCTTCCAGCGTGGCGATCGTGTCCGGTACTTCCGCGTTCAGCCATGTCTCGGTAAACACCAGCACGCTGCTCTGCCGGTACTCCCTCTGATGGCGAGTCAGCGCCGACAGCTCGTCCATCTTGTTGGGGAACGATCTTATGTTCATTTATGGGCGTGAACCCCCCACAGTGCTCATACAAAGCAGCATGCAAGACACACTACCAAAAAAACGCAAATATAGGCCTAAACACCTGGGGTTGGCTTTTACTTTTACTTTCACTGGTGAGTTTGTTTTAATGACTGACAATAATACATCATCATTTTTTATTAATAATATTTTGTATTGAAATAACTAAAACTGTAAAACATATAGTATTTACCTCTTACATGTACTGGAGAAGGAAAAAGTGGTAGAAAATTTAAATACTCAAGTACAAGTACCTCAAAATAGTACTTAACTACAGGACTTGAGTAAATATAGGCTACTTAACTATATACTTTCCACGACTGGTTTTCTTCTTCTCTTATGTTAATTACAGTATGTCTCATGCACACAAACAGAGTTCCATATTTACCAAAGCAGTGATCTTACCCTCATCACAAACACACACACACACACACACACACACACACACACACACAAACGCCAGGGTTCCATGTTATTCTAATGTAGCTGAATGTTTACTGAAGTGATGTTCTCTCATGTTCGTCCGCCATAATTAAACAGCACAGCTCATGAATAAGTAACAAGCCTTGCTATAACACCTAGTCCACACACACACACAGGTTAGATGTTGAATGAATATTCTCTCTGTGCTTGCTGTACAGCAGAATATTAAATATGAAATAGAGCAGGACAGAAAGTGGGCAACATGTTCAGTTGTGCAATGTTTCTCATGGAGGTGTCACATGTCTTTAGCTTTGCTTTGTAAACTCAGTCTGTAAAAGCTGCCTCTGCCAGGAAAATTAAAGACCTGTATACTGTGGTACTGGTACTTTTAGTACTGTGATTTAAGACTAATGAGTGCTTCTGCCACCACTGTCTGCTGTACCTCTCCAACTCTTTCTGTGTGTGTGCTGCAGGTGTATGATCACATGCTGAAGCGCTTCGCCCGATTGGAGGAGAAAGTCCTGCAGGAGACCTGCCCCTAAGCTACAGCCACCAATCAGTGTCGTTGAAGAAGTGTGCGCCCTTTGATGAAGATAATAAAAACTTCTTTTTTTTAAAAAAAAAAACAACAACAACAAACACTTGATTTTGAATATAGATGAAAATAAATTTGGAAACCTGAATTTGATAAGTGATAGATTAGTACTGCTAGTCAGTCAAAAATAATTGATTGATGGCAGTGAATTTTAAAGAGTAACTAAACCCTAAAACCATTTTTTTCAGATGATAATCATTGTTTCTGGTTGTATAGTAGTGTTACTGACTGATCCTGCTCAATATCTTGACAGTTTAGTGCAAACTGTTGAAAATCTACATTTTATTTTAAAAATGTGGTATGGAGTGCCCTCTACAGCTTGAAACCTGGTTACTACATTTGAATTTACATTACATTACATTGGAGACGAATGATTCTTTTTCGAGGCGAATGACGTCACTAACTGTCCACGCTAAAGCCTGCCCTCCTCCCTTTACTCCTCCCCTTACTATAAAACCATTCTGTCCGCAGAGAGAGCCGAGCCGTGAGGGAGGGAGGGGTGGATGGATGCGGTGGGCTGCTGCTCTGAGCCCAGGCTCCCAGAGAGGGAGAAATAGAACCGGCCGCCTTGCCTTCTACCCGTGTGACACAGTTAGGGGCGGTTTTCCAAGCCACCATCGGCACATGAATATAAGCTCCACTGTCGGCAGGGTGAAAAAAAGTCTAAGTTGGAGATGGGGAGAAGGGTGAACAGGGGGAAAGAGGCCGAGCTGCAGCCGCCTTCCCTTCTGCCCATGTGACACAGTTAGGGGCGGTTTTCCAAGCCACCATCGGCACAATGAAAATAAGTCGAAGTGTGGAGCGGAGGAGAGGGACCTCTCTCCCCACAGCAAGGGACAATCTTAACTCCGCCCCCTTCCTCAGCCGCTCGCCTGTCTCACCCCCTCCCTCAGCTCCGCCTATCTTCTCTGAACTTTTTGAAATCAAGCTGTGGGCGGAGTAATGCCCAGAGAGGGGGGTTTAGTTCCCCTTTAACACATTCTCATCCACCACTCCAACCTGCCTCCTTACCCACTCAGGACTGCTTCCTTGCTTACTTCCATCAGTTCACTGTCACATGATTGCAGCCTTTCAAAATACGTAGGATATGTACGAATTTGGGCGCATTACTTTTTGTAGGAAAATATATGATATCTTACTATATAATGATGAAAACTCTGTCTGTCAGTGGGTGTGTCTATTCCACGTTTTTCTCCTCACTGACTTGGTCAATCCATGTGAAATTTGGCACAGTGGTAGAGGGTAATGGGAGGATGCGTATGAAGCAATATTACATCAGTTGACCAAAGTGGGGTGCTATAGCAACCGATTGAAATTGCAAACTTTGAATGGGAATACCAGACCAATCAGAGTCTATCAGGCCTACCAGCTAATATATGACATGTCAGCAGCATGTCGGATGACGCTTCTGAGGAAGACTGGAGTCTCAGTCGAAACTGTGAAGCAAGTAAAACACATCTCCTTACATCCTGTTCTGTCTGAATATGAGAAAACCTTCAAATATTCTAAATAAGAAGACAGTATGAACCTTATCAATCGATTTTTACTAAACTTGGTAGATATGTAGAACAGGACGCCTTAAGGTGACTGGACAAATTTAACTCTGCTTAAAAATGGCAAAAATGCAACTGATCGCTGTGGCTCCCCCTGTGGCCGAATGTTTGTTTGTTTTTTCAAATTTTTGGTATGACTAAGTCATGGTATGGTATGCTGTACATAATCACGGAAACTGTCAGTGTGTCATTCTGTCATTCTACCAGTGCGCCCCACTTTTAAGTCAATACAACATATAAACACTTTAACTATCTGCCTTTCAACGTGCTACCTCAACTACTAATGTACTGTTTTAGCCCACTAACTATCCCACTATTGGCAATGGTACTACTGTACTTTCATTAAAGCAATGGTACTATCAAATTCACAAAAACTCTGTCTGAATACATTGCTCTTCTTAATGGGTTCAGTTGACTATTTAATCTGCAATTTCCTATGACCTGTATCCCAAACATACACCATGTGAAACTGTACATGGGCAAAAGTGCACTCAGTGGGTATGGACTGGTATATATATATTCTGCAGGAAGGAGTCCCAAAACCCGGAAATTAGTCAGCCTTGTGCGGACTCCCAGTTCCCTCATCACGATGTCAGTAGGTTTTTTGAATATGTTTTTGGTTGGATGTCTGAAATACGATCTGTGGTTAACACAAGCTGAAGAGATGTTCATGTTTTGTTCTATGACATAAAATGAGTCAGTAAATACCCCACCGTGAATTTAGGAGCTTCTATGTGACTTACCTAACAAGTTGCTACAGTAGACTAAAGAATGCCATCGTGCTGAACACAGCCTTACAGCCTCGTTGTGGTGGTTAAGTTAAGTCCTGTGACTGGTGTAGTTTGTTTATAGCCTAACATTAGCTTTGTTCTTCTGGGGATTGCATTTAGGCTTCAGTAATCATAAAAGTGGTGTTCATTTGTGAAGATTGTCTTGCTAAACAAAACGTGTAATGGGCTGTATTCACCAGAGCCCTTTTTCCTGAAGCAAATGTATTTTTTAAATTCTTGCAATTGGAGCACTGGAACTGAGTAATGAGGAGCTGAGTGTCTATTGTTTGCTGAGTGCTGCATGTTTGGCATTTTTTTTCCTGAGCACTGACAGTTGAAAAATGATCAACTTCAGGTTAAAGGCAGCAGTTGTCACTGTCACTACCCAGCGGTCCAATCATAATGGAGGAGGGGTGGGACAAATACCACAAAGACCAACTTCCACTTCTTACATGTGTTGGCGCAGCGGCATGTGGAATATTCACAGGCGAGTATTGTGCATTTTTGTGTAGTTTATTTGTCAAGCCAGGCCTTTAAAATAATTCCTGCAATCACTGTTGTTGATCAAATTAAAGTTAAATTTTTTTTTTAATTGCTGTTTAGGCATTTTATAATGGATTCGTTCCAGGAAAAAAAGAGGCTAATTTCACAAGTTATATTTTGGATCAATTCCTTCAACTTCCAGTTTTGGATAATGTTAGTGTTGTGTTACACAAACTGGTGTCCTGACAAAACCATGATGTAATCTAAATGTTCTTTTTGTTAGGTCTAATTTTCAATAAACTAAATGACCTCATGAACGCCACTTTGGTTACAAATACTGTAACTCACACTCTATTGGAGGAAATACTGTTGAGAAGAGGTGGGAGTAAGTCACACGTGTGCAAGTCATAACCTTCAAGTCTCAAGCAAGTCCCAAGTCACTGAGGTGAAAATTAAGCAAGTCAGATCGAGTCCTTGCTATAAGTCAAGCAAGTCGAGTCAAGTCATGTGCCAGGTCAAGCAAGTCACAACTCAAGTCATACTCACAAACTCATAAAGATAATATAAACTGTGACGCTATCTCTCACTATTTCCAGAATTTTTACAAACCAAACAATCATTTGATTAATGGAGAAAATAATCAGTAGATTAACCCATGATGAAAATAATCATTAGTTTGTAGTTCAAAATCAGCTCCACCTCAGCCAACTACAACAGTAAAATCCTGCTTTTACATTACAGTAATGCATGAGTCAGAATCATCTAATGTGATCATATATAGTCGTAGACTACAACAGTCACAGGGGACATTTTTACAGTACTTTTACTAAATGTAATACTTAAAAAACATTTTCCTGATTATACTTATATACTTCTACGCCAGTAACATTTTAAATGCAGGAATTTGACTGTATTTTTACAGGGTGGTATGTAACCCCCGCCAATGTAATAACTGTCCACAAACATAATAAACCACAAATGTAATAAAAATCTGCAGCATTTAATGTAATAAACCCACAAATGTAATACATTTTCCAAAAACGTAATAGCCGCTGCCTACTACAAACGTAACACACGATTTCCCACAAATGTAATAACTATTACGTTTGCAGGGATTTATTATGTTTGTGGGGAAGTGAAAATCTTGTAATAACTTCCCACAAATGTAATAATACAATGAATTAAAGCTGGAAGCAGCGTTGGGCGGGACCTCGGACCCTCGCTGTCGGCCTCCAGCTCACGTAGACGGTGTGAATTAGCCTATTCATAAGAGTCAGAAGGTCGATAAAACAAGCAATGTCAATAGAACGCAAGGTCATTTTTGGCAATGAACCCATGACTTGGGAGTAGAACTTTGATGGCTTCTGAAAACCAAACTACTGACAAGGACATCAATCAATCAATCAATCAATCAATCTCACAAATCACAATTTGCCTCACAGGGCTTTACAGCATCCAACATCCCTCTGTCCTCAGGACCCAATGAGACAGAAGGGGAGACAGAGAGAGATGCAAGACAGACGGTAATTTTAATAGCTTACAACAACATTAATGAAAGTAATAATATTATAATTATAATTCTGGCTATTGTGGTACAATATGTTGAAAATATATTTTAATATCTGATAGTATACATATGTGACAATAATAATAATAAGTAGAAGTATGACACACACAGACAGACAGACAGACAGACAGCACAAAGACATCAGCCTCTGTCCTTGTAACAGCAATGAGGAATTCAACCCAAGTCAGTGAGGTAAGCTTGCTGTTAATGGTAACGTTACCAGTTAGCTAATGTTAGACAGTTTGATTTTAACAGAAATGTTATAGTTAACAAGTCAGTAGCCAACGTTTGCATTTACAGTGAGTGAGCTGACAATGACGTAACATGGATGAGAGGAATTTCCTACCACCTCGGTCAACCAGAGATCTGATGAAATGTTGTCAGACCAGTGTTACTAGCTAACATTAGTAAACTTTATCTACTATTTTGTACCTGCTAGGTCAACCATTCCCAGTGATTTGATGAAATGCTGTCAAGCTAACGTTACTAGTTAACATTAGCTAACATTAGCTACTATTTTCTACCTACTAGGTCAACCATTCCCAGAGGTCTGGTGAAACAGAGAAGTTGTCACAACATATTGTAATTGCATCCAACTCAAGGTGTGTTTAACAGGGTTGCTAACTTTGGTCAGAGGGCTGGAGTGAGATTTTACGTTGTGACGTAATATCTGCAAGTGTG